AAATATTTACAATAAGACGCACAACAGAACAACAAACCACAGACAGCAGTTAACTCACTATCAGACTGATTTACAAGAAAACAAACAAACAAAAAAAGAAATCTTATGATTTCTCAACACCTCTAATTGAAATTGACCACGACCCATGTCGCATTAACACAAATATTTCCAAACCAGATGCAAAAGTCTTGACAAATGATTTCCAACGCTACTATCGTTAGCTGCGCGGAAAGAACGATGTCAAGGAAGAAAGAATATGATAATCGTGATCATGTGATATAAAAAATGAAAAAAGAGAGGCATATAAACTCGTAATGAGGTGGACTGATGCAAATTCAACATATATTATAGTATAAAACTTGTCTATTTTGTAAGAATTACTAAGCAAATCGCTTGCTGAATGCGAAAAACAAGACACACATGACAAATTCTCATAATCATCGAATGCAAAGACACAAAAATAAATAAAAAATACACAAAATCATCGTAAACGTTTGCAATGCAAATAAAACTGAGCATATGGTGCCCGAAATGAAATAAAACTCAAAATCGTAAAACCAAGCGCTCACCTCGAGATATTGAATGTGCCACACTGTCGTTGCCTTGTCAAGAAACTCTTCTCAGGGCTGGTGGGTGCCTGACCGACCATCGTCCGTGATGATATGCCACTATCGCCACTGCCCGACATACCCCCACCCAATCCACTGCCAGCTAACGTTGACTGCTGATGCAATTGCATCATCTGCAAACCTTTTTTTGCTACGAATTTTTTTTCGACTCTCTCCTATCGAAAACCAACTCGCAACAATTCATTGAAAATCTCTCTTTCACAACTTCTCAGCAAAAAATGTGAATATTTCAGTATTCGAAAGACAACAACTGAAAATTCCATATGATACAATCCATTCAAATTGGCCAGAATGGCCACAAAATTCCAGTTCAATATGAAAACAAAATGTTGAAAAATTTGGTTCGTTCACCTAAAATCAAACAACAACCAACCATATGATAGACGTGTGTTGTGACGAGTTGTTGCTCTTGTTCTTGCAACGAGCGACTTCTTTCCATACTCTCTTTCATTGCTTCAATCTGAATACAAAACATTACTTTTCTGAAAAACGACACAAAACTAAACCTAATCAAATAATCAAAAATTCCGACAAAATCAGAGAAAATCAGCAACCTACGAACAAACATTCTCACAGAAATCAAAATA